AAGGAATTTAACAACGAGGACACTTTCCAGGAGTCCCACTGAAGCAAGGGAGGAGGTAAAAATGGCCAGTAAATATAGGCACGACGTCACGTCCTCCACCCCTCCCCTTTCTTTGCCTGCGCCCAAATTTAATCTGCAAATCAGCACGACAATTACACAACACCTCCCAGAACAAAAATATGGATTGTTCCTTTTTTTTCCCTAAAGCTGTGAGGCCACAGACGATATCCTCAAAACACGAGAACGTCCAACGTCTGGAGTTTATCTGTACATCTTGAGTAAGCCATATGGCAAACTATATTTAGTCCTTGTTGTTGTTGTTTTAAAAAAAACTAATACTAACAATACGGTATACATTTCCTTACGTTTGAAATTATTTCTTCTGCTTCCCCCCACCCCAAGTTGTTGTTATTGTTGTTGTTGTTGTCGTTTTTCTTTAAATATTTGCACACAAAACAGGGCAGGAAATGAACCTTCCGAAATGCTGGACATACGAACCGTTGGCATTAATTCGGAAGATGCTGGCCGAGGTGCTTTGAAAAATGTCTTGGAGTTCGTTCGGATCGATCTGGGTGGCTAGAAAGGAGCGGGAAAAATAGAGAGAGAGAGAAAAACAAACAAACACGTTATTAGATCGGATCACAGACGGCACCCCAATTCCAACATGCACATTAGTGCTTTGCACAATTCCCTGTTCGCACAACCTACGACACAACGGAGCCCAACATTTCTGTGGCTAAGCGAGACAATTGTTAAGTGACTTTTGCCCCGTTTTACAACCTTACTTGCCGCCCTTGTTAAGTGAAAAATCCCATGACGGGAGGTTAAAAAAAGCAAGGAAGGAGAATATTTCTAAATGATTACAGGTAGCCCTGGACTTACGACTAGAATGGAATGGAATGGAATGGAATGGAATGGAATGGAATGGAATGGAATGGAATGGAAAGGTGAGGGAGGGAGGGAGGGAGGGAGGGAGGGAGGGAGGGAGGGAGGAAGGAAGGAAGGAA